ATGGAATTTTTATTTCTGAATGAAAATAAAGAAAAAGTGTTTTTACCCCCTGAAACACTACGCCAAATTAAAAAAGTATTATTTAAATTTAAAATAAAAATATATATATTTATTAATTAAAAGTTTTATCAATTTAATAATTTTTATAAAATGAATACAGTAATTATATTTTGCTTTTTTGATCATTTTATTTGATTTAAATTTTTTTTCCATTCCTTTGCAGAGAAAAAAAAAATAAATTTTTGGGTTTATTAATTATTTTTAAAAAATTTATTCAATCCTCCTTAAAAAATAAAACAATTTAAAAATTTATTTTTTTATTTACAGTTTTAATTCCAAATATATATTTAAATAGTTTATTATATATATATTATATATATATATATATATATATATTTATTTTTATTTTTTAAACTAAAGAAAATAATTTTTCATATGTTTGTATTCATTTGCAGTTTAAATCGTTAAAAATTGTTTCAGAAACAAAAATGATTCTTAAAGTATATTTTTTTTTTTTTTTTTGGTTTCCCAAACATCAAACAAAAAACACATTTTGAACCTTTAAGACAAATCTTTTGCACTATTGTATTTTTATTACTAAAGTCCATTGTCTTTGGAAAAAGATTTTTCTGAATGGATTTTTTCAAAATAAAGAACGGTTAAGAGTTTCCTGCTTTATATGGATATAAAAGAATTTCAGTTTTTCTTTTTCAGGGAAGACAATAAAGGAAATCTAGATTTCCATTTTAATGAATGAAATTCACATTTCCAAAATGATGTATGTTGTCCTTTTTCATGATTTTTATATTTATTTCAATTGATTTCACAAAAAATGTCATATAAAAACCATTTTTTTTCTGAAAATAAGTTAAAATTATACTAAAAAATTTATTTAAACAAAAATTTGAATTTTTTTTTTGAAAAAATCTGATATCCGATAAATATATACTTTTCGTTGGGAAATTCAATGTCACAAATATATGTTTTCAGACAGAAATCTCTTTTATATTTAAATCTTGTTTTTTCAATAAATAATGTACAATAATTAAAAATATAAAAATTTGATATTAAATAAGATTTATATTATTATATATATATATATATAATATTTATATATTAGGAATCCAAAAAAAACATAAATATATATATCTTATAAAGCAATTATAAATATATAAAAATATATATTAATATATAAAAAACTTATAACAGACGATTAATATAAAAGACATAGTTAAAATACTTTAAAAATTTTCCATTTTTTTTATTTATATATATATATATATATATATATATATATATATATATATATATATATATATATATATATCAGGTCATCCCATAAGTTCTGTCCGAATTTTGAATAAAGAAAACAAGTGACCAAATGTTACATTTAATTACAGATTCAATCAACAATGTATTTTCCCTGATTATCTATGACTTCCTTCCATCTATTAACAAGCTTACTAATTCCATTACTGTAAAATTCTTTTGGCTTTGATTCGAAGAACTCACAAATGTCAGTTTTAACCTCTTCCTGTGTTACAAAAAGCTGTTTCTTCCAAATGATTCTGTAAGCTACGAAACAAATGGTAGTCTGAAGGAGCAAGATCGGGAGAATAAGGTGGATGAGGAATTTTCTCCCAACCAAGTTCTTCGATCTTTTGTGACGTGATTCTTGCTGTGTGGGGTCGCGCATTGTCCTGATGAAACATCACCTCTTTTCGATTCACTAGAGCAGGTCTTTTTTTTCCTCAAAGCTTGGTTCAAACGCTCTAATTGCTGACAGTATATTTGAGCATTAATTGTTGCATTAGGTGGTAAGAATTCAAAGTGGATTATTCCTTGGCGATCCCACCAGATTGAAAGAAGAACCTTTTGCCCATGAAGTTCCCTTCTCGGCTGTGGCTGGGGTCCTTCCCTTTACCAAGCCACTGTCTACGACGCTTAACATTTCGATAAAAGATCCATTTTTCGTCGCCAGTCACAAGTCTATCCAAAAAAGGTGAAACAAGTTGGCGAGAATGGAGAGAAGAGCAGATGTCAACTCGGGATTTGAGGTTGTTTTCAGACAATTCATGAGGCACCCATTTTCCAAGTTTAGGAACTTTTCCAAGTTGTTGAAGATGACGATGAACAGTTGTATGGTTTGAACTGAGAACCACTGCCAATTCCTCAACTGATAAAGCAGGATTTTCTTCAAGGGCTGCTTCAAGAAGCTTTTCATCAAACTCAACTGGACGTCCGGTTCGATCTTCATCTTCAAGGGTGAAATCTCCACCTCTGAATTTTGCAAACCATCTTCTGCAAGTTCTTTCATTCACACATTCCTCTCCATAAACTGAGTGAATGTTTCTAGCCGCTTCGGCTGCTGAGTTTCCTTTCTTGAACTCATAAAGCATTATGTGCCTCAAATGATTCTTGGGTACTTCCATGTTAGCAGGGTTTTAATCAAACAAAATTTAATTTTATTGTTCTCTGAAATAAAATTTGATCAGTTTAAATGCATCTAAACATAAAAATAATGTTCAGCTCCATTAGACATTATAAAATACTCTTTAAATTTCGTTCATTTTAACAAAAAGTTAAAATTCGGACAGAACTTATGGGATGACCTGATATATATATTTATATAAATATATTTATTTATAATTGATTTTAAAAAAATTAATATATTTTAAAATTTTCAGTGTTTAAGAAAAAAATATTTTTTAATATAAAAGAAAAAATTTGTTTTACGTTTCATTTTCAAATATATCCATAACCTATATATTTCACATTGGTGCCTTATTATTCTGGGATTTATGTTCTATAAATTTTGAAATTTCTAATTTCGACCGTCTTTTCGATGAAACATTTAAATTTAACCGCGATTTCTAAATAATCAAAATTCATTCTCTTGCACAAAAGTTTTGATTGTATAATTTAAGATCTTTTTTGAAAAAACAAATAACTATAATTATTAAAAATTTTTTTTTAACGAAAAATCGACATTTCTAATTTCCTTGATTTAACATTTTTTTATCTTTCCCGTTCAAAAATTTTTTTCTTTTAATTTATTTAAAAAATATAGCCTATATCAATCTTTTCCATATCAATAACTTCAATTTTATTTTTATAAATAAAATTTATATTTTTTTTATAAATATAAATGTTTACATGAGGTATATATCTTCAATATAATTTTGTTTTTATTTAAGAATATTTTTATCCATAATAATTTTTTACATTCTATCGAGAAATAATCGATGTATAATTGCCAAAAATTTATTTTATCTTTTTTTTACGGTTTAAAACTTTATTTAAAGCTTTTTTTTTTTTCACTCTAAAACAGTCTTCACTACTTATATATTTAATTTTTGATTACATTAATTTTTTTATATAATTTTAAACAGTTGAATGTTATATATATTGATTTTGTAAATGAATATAAAAATTTTTTTATTCTAATATGAATTTTGTTCTCTGTTTTTTTTTTTTTTTTCCGTTATTTAAATGCACCATTTTCATCCACATTTATTTTTTTAATTTGTTTTCCCAAGCGGTGAGTTGATCTAAACTTTTCAGGCTCTTTTTGCTTAACTTTTTAAACTATAAAAAATATATTGATATATAAGGCAAACAATATTAAGAAATTTACCTTTTCCTTCCTTTTTTTTTTTTGTTCTTTAATATTCATTTTTGTATTCTTTTTACATATTTATCTCTTTCTTATTTGTCCCATATTTTTTTATTAAAATATTTTCAAACATGTTTTCGGATTTCTTCCAAGTTTTCTCCAAATTTCAAAATGCCACAAACTTAAAGAAAATAAAATTATTTTCGTCAAAACTGCTTATGTTTTTAATTTTTTTTCTTAGAAAAAATTTTTTTAATTTTTTTTTTGAAATTTTTTAAATTTTTTAACACGTTCGAAATTCTTAAATAAAAAGACTTTTTTTCCATTCGTCATCATTGAATTACGTTTAAAATAACAGTTTTTTTTAATTTTTTTTCTTCAAAACATATTTTATTTGCAAATTTTTCTTTAAATAAAATAATTGTTTTTCTTAATGAAATTTTCAGGATTTATTATATAAATCAATGAAATTATTTTTTATATTTTTTTTTTTTAAAAAATTTTGGTAAAAATTATATTTTTTAAAATATGTTTAATTTATCATAATTTCATGAAATTTCGCCCAAAAAAAAACTTGAAAAATGTTTTTTTTTAACATTTTAAACAAATACATAATATGTTCAGAATTTTTTTAATCCAAAGGTTTTTAAATTTGTATTAAATCTGAAAAATTTTAAATAAACTTTTAATTATTATTAATTAAATAAAATATATATTTTTTTATTTAAAAATTATTTAAGAAATTGAAATATATAATATAATATCGAAATTTTATATTTATTTAAACTTTCAATTAAAGTTTAATGAAATAAAATTCAAAAATGTTTTTTCATTGTAAAAAATTCATTTTAAACTTTACAATATATAATAATATTAAATTTTATAAATAGTTTCCTTAAAATATAACTATTTAATCCATTCATCTTTATATTTTTATTATTTTATAAAATTCACTCTTATTAATGTTCTTTTTATTGCTTTTTTTTTCTAATTTAAAAGTCTTCTCTTTCCTTTCTTTCAATAATATCAATTGAACTTAGTGAAATTAATAAAATCTGATATCATTTTTTTATAAAATGAAACATTCATTGAAAACTGGAAAATTTCATCAAAATCTTTATATTATCATGATTTCAGTCCATAACATTTTTGGTCCTTTAATTTTTTTATCAAAAATTTTTTTTTTTGAACACTTTTAAATTATATGTAAATTGTTCAATTTCTATTATAATATATATATATTTATAAGGCATATATATTTTTATTGTAACCAATATATCCATTAAAAGATACGACACTGGCATTGAAACAAAACAAAAAGGAAAGCATGGAAAATTATTTCATCATTTATATATATATCTTTATTGCTATAACCTCCATTTAGATGGATGTCTTTAAGAATTTTTTTTTTGATTTTCATATTTCATTTGTCTACGCTAAATTTCTATCTAAATCTTTCATTGTTTCAACAAAAATTGAAAAGGAAGCAAATCTTTTTTTTTTTTTTAGAATGAAAAATGAAAAAAAAGATTCATTTTTTTCGATGGAAAAAATTTAGAGGTCTTCAAAAAAAAATTGGTTTCAATTTATTTTTTCCTGGGAAAATTTAAATCTGCATGGAAATTTACTTTTTGGATTTTTTGAATAAGCGTTGAAATGATATTTTTTTCTTTCGCAAACTATTGGTTTTTTATTTTTGTTTGGTTAACATTTTTTTTTATTCGTTCTTTATTCTAATTTTATCTATTATCTATTTTTCTATTGTGTTATATTCTATCTGATTATTTTTCTTTATCTTATCTAATCTATCATATTTATTTATTTTTTTTAATCCTTTTATTTATTTTTTTATTTTAAAATTATATTTTTATTTATATTATATTTATTTAATCTATCAATATCTATCTCTTTGTTAATCTTTATCTTATTTATATTTATTTTTAATGTTCCCATCTATCTAAACATTTATCTATTTGAATCAAGTTTTTCTATTACCCATTATTATATCTATCTATCTTTATTTATTATATTCTATCTATTTTATCTAATTTATCTATCTATCTTTATCATGTTGGAATTTTTTTCAGTAAAATGTTCCAAAATTTCTGAAAAATCCATTTATTTTAGCTCAATTCTTTCTTCACTTTCCTATCCATATATTAATAAATTCCTTTTCTTACTCTTTTATTTTCTGAGTTTTTTTTTTTTCATTTTTCTATTTTTTTAATCTATATTTAATTTAAAATATGGATCATTTATTCTACTGTTATTTAATTTATCTATCTTTATTCATTTGTTTTTTAATTTCAATAATATTCTTAATGACGTTATCCAATATTTATTTATCTGATTTTGCTATTGGTTCCCAATTAAATGGTCTATTCAATCATTCAATTCATCCTTTCTATCTTTTAAATCTATTCATAATTATGGATCATCTACCTTTTGCTTAAAAAATATTTGGAAAATAAACTAATCTATCTTTTTTTATCATTTTATATCATTTTTTGTCTTACCCTATCTATTCCTCAATAAATTATATTTATATAAGACTGCAAAAATTCTTTTATAAATTGTTTATTATTATATCTATATATCTATGATAATCTTTTTAACTATAAAATCTATTTCTGGTACATTTTTTTCTTTAAAATTATATTTTTATTTTCAAAAACTTATATCTATCCGAAAATATTTTTTTTAAAATTTCATAAGAAAAAGGTGGAAAATTTTAAATTTTTTGTTATTGGATAAAAGGCTTATAGTTCTTTTTTATCATATTTTCATCTAAAATTTTTAAGACAAACAAAGTTTTGTTTTTTTTGAGTTTCCTGTTTCTAAGTATAGGTTTCTAAGTCGTTTTCCCATTAATTAAAAAAGCTTATAGCTTTGGTATTAAAGAGAATTTGTTAAAAAATGAATGTTTGTTTTTTCTGTATCTTTTATTTCATATTTTTGTCTTGCTTCAAAACTTTTATTATTATTAAAAAATATATTCATGATATTTTGGAAATTACATTATACAGCTCAAAAATATATATATATATATATATATATATATATATATATATATATATATATATATATATATATATATATATATATATATATATACTAAACTAAAATATCAACTGAAAAAATTGCAATTTACTTAATTCGAAACAAAAATTTGATATTTGCTATTGATAACAATTTATAATATATATATATATATTATATATATATATATATACTTTTTTTTCATGGTTTATCCTTTTAATAAACTTTGCTATTCAAAATTCGTTTTTAATTCAAATGGAAAATTTAAAGGACCATATGGATTTAAATTTAAATTCTGTTACGATTTAAATGAATTTTAATTCCGTCCATTTTATTCAAATTTCAAATTCACTGTTAAAAAGATTCTTTTTGCCTTTGCAAGGCATTTTTTAGATTTGAAATAACTTATTACATGGAACCTTTCGAATTACATTTCGCAATTTAAACATAAATGTTCATAATTTAATTATTGAGCTCATCTTTTTATCATCTTCCTTGAGTCTACCCATAAAAATTTAATTTTCTTTTGACATATATATATATATATATATATATCTATATATTCTCATAAAAATAATTTTGTTGTAAAATTTTTCAATTTTATGTGGCATGAACTAATTGTTCATATATATATATATATATATATATATATATATATATATATAGATTTTAGAGATTTGTCTGACGATCCTGACGCTTGTGTGAAAACCAGGGGTCACAAACTCACATCTATCCAACCAAATATGTTAGCTCTATCTCTGATATTGAGCGCTTTCTAATAAGTACCGCGCATATAATATATAAATAATTATATATATATATATTTATTTATATTTATATACACTTTTCACACACACACACACATATATACACACACATATATATATATATATATATATATATATATATATATATATATATATAATTTTATTCCATTTTTCTATAATGTATATAATATACACATCCATTTCACCAGTATGAATGTTCATTTGTTTATTGTCGATGGTTTTAATTCATTGGTAAGACTGTTTGAATTTGATAACAAAATGTTTTTTTTGTGACTCAGAAGGAAAATGAATTTATAATTAATAAAAGCTTTATTAAACATCTTTGAAATTAGCGCTATGCGATTCAGTATCCAATTTAAATTTCCAGGCAAATTGGCAAAACTTCTACCTTAAGTTATTTCTTGTTGTTTTTTAAAAGATATCCCCCCGCCGCTTTGACATGGACCATTAAAGTCATTAAAGCTCTCCAAATATCCTTTCTCTTTATTACATAAAAAATGTCATGACAAATTTTCACGCCAGAATCTATCATATATATTTTTAAGTCTACCGTTTGTACTTGCTTTGAATACTGCTGATCTGGCCCGGTGCTTCTGATATATTTAGATTCTTGATAAAATTTGTAAGAATCTGCAATGTTATTAATCCTGACCTGGCATCTCGGCTTCAGTCATTTTCCTGCCGTAACGTAGCTTCCTTGTGACTTTTGTTTATAAACAATTTCATGGTAATTGTTCTGATGAATTTTCCTCTATGGTACATTTTTTAATGAATTTAAATACAGTATTAAATTTCCGATTAAGGTCTCATCGTTTTTATAGTTGAAATGACTAGATGCAACCGTTTTTCTATGCTGAAAACAGTATCTTCTATTGCAAATCTTTGCTTGTCAAACTAAGCTTTTTCAATTTCCTGCTTCATATTCCCGTTTATCTTAAAAGCAAAACCTTATTTTCTCATTAGACCAGTTGCCATCCAAGGAAAATTAGAAAATAGTCTGTCCTGAATTTAACCCATAGCTGGATTTAGAAGAGGATTCACACCTTCCCTCTATAAATTATCATAAAATATAATGAAATGTAATAATTCTTTGAATTCAACTATTTTTATCCGATTCCTCAATACAAGACTATCCATTACTTTTTTTGCCTGAATTCAAAACCTGCGGAGGGTCGTTTATTTTAAGTGTAAAATGGCAATCTAGTGCAGCAGGTCTCTGAATTCGGCAAATCAAAAATGATGGATGGTCCTGCACGAAAACATTCACCACTATAATCAAATCTCATAAAGTCGAATATATATACATGCGGGTTGGGGACAAATTTAGAAATTCTAAAATTTAAATCATGAAACTTCCAATATTGAGCCATGCTCAACCCATTTCGTTGGATTTTTACAGGTACATGTACAGGTAGTTAACGCAAATTGATCTTCAAAATTTTATATGGTTATTTCAATTGTTATCTTCGGTTTTCTGCATTTTTGTTCTTTCATTGTCCCCCTTTCTTTAATAAACGTTTTTTTTTATATTCTAACACATTAACAGTAACCAGTTGCAAAATCCTAAGTGGCTTTGTTGAAGTTAAAAAATGAAATGACGTGACCGTAAAAGCATGAAATATATAACACTAGTTTCAGAGCCCGGCGTTGCCCACACCTGTAACAATGAGATAGATCAAGTATCGACCATCATAAAGACTGAAAAATAAATTGATAAAGATTATTGTTTAAGGTTGACGGAACGCATATCTTAATTAGTTTTTTTTTTTTTTTTTTTTTTTTTTTACGAATTAGTCAAACCCAAACTCAAACAAAAACATTGTTTTCAATCGTTATGAGTCTACCGATTGAATAGAATTTTATTATAAACAATTGTCTTGTAAATGGAATTTTTAAAGCATTCTGAATGTAAAATAAAGAAAAAAATTTGACAAAGACAATAAAAAACACTACCTGCCAAAAAAAAGTGAAGTTTTGTTGAAATTGATTGAAAATGTAGGAAATCCGATCCCATATATAAACGAACACACACACACACACACACACACACACACACACACACACACACACACACACACACACACACAACACACAAACAAACAACCTGGTTTTATAAATAAATATAACTCGATATGAGTTGTCCCCCTTTCATTCTGGCAGATTAATCGTGTTTTCAAATTGATTTTGTGCAAAAACAATTGTGTTTTTTAATTTTTGGTGGTGTTAGAACCACCGCAAGGTAATTTTACGTAAACCTGTGAAGTTTTTATTGAAATCGGTTGAAAAATGTAGGAAATTCGATCCAATATATAAACGTACAGACACACACACACACACACACACACACAATCCATCTTTTATTTTAAATAAGATAAAGATTTATAGTAATGAAAAATGAAAAAGCAAAAATTTTATTTTGTGTCCCAAGAATTTTATTTCTCTCGTTGTCATATTTTCAACAGTATCTTAAAAAAATGTTGGTATAAGGACTATCTTTTAACATTTTTTTTCTATATAAGGGAAGGATAATAATAAGATAGTAAGTGTAACCCGGATATAAGAGAAAACCCGGATATAAGAGAAAAACAGTCTGGTTAAATTAGAGCAATAAGAATAAAAAAGACTAAAAAAATATAAAACAAACCCGGATTAAAATGTTTTTTGCAAAAAAAAAATTTTTTTGATGTTAATAAACATCAAATAATACTGAAAAAACCTCGATATAAGAGAAACCACATTCAACTTTCCCTTTTGTTCCAAAAATTAAAAAACAATCTTTTCTATCCAATTTACTGAATTAAATTATTATATGAATGAAATAATTATTTTTCGACCAAATACTGAGTCATCCCGTTTTTTTTTCTCCCAAATTTAGGGTTACAACGTTACTAATTTCTTCAAATATTTTGAAAAAATATTTTAAGCTTTGTTTGTGGTCTTTTAATCTAAAGCTAAAAATGTATTGTCAATCGACATTTCCATTGCCTTAATAGAATATTGTTTGTTTTTTTAAATAAATAAAATAATTAATTACCTTTCCAATATCTATTGATATTTTTTTCAAAAAAATTTTTTTTTGTTAACAATAAAAATTTTTTTTCAAAATGACTATCAAACATTTAATAATCAATCGAAATAATATAATTTATAAAATATCTAAATTTTTTAATTGAATTTTTTGAGAAAGGGAAAATTCCGAGGTCTTTTACTATTCACCAAATCAATCATAAATTTAAAAAAAATTTTTTCTTAAAAATTT